TCTACGTACCACGTATGAATTAAAGGACATGTAACTACCGAGCGTAGCCGCGGAGATAAAATACAGCAGGTCCTGATATGGCACTAAACCGTCCGCGCAACGAGGATCGTACGCGCTGCCTACGCGCAAGAAGCTACATGCGACCGTCGTTGCGCGTAGCTGCTGTATAATGGAATCTAACGTGTGAGCGTTTTTAATTCCGACGATACCGTCCGTGATTATTACCATATCTGAAAATGTTCCCGTCACTGTATTCCCCGTACTATCGCCTCGACATTCATAGCGTTACGTTAATCCGTTAATTGCGAAACTCACGTGCACAGCTGTGCTCAGGTAAAAGTGTTAGAGCCAGCATCCCGTATCTCAGCATATTTACAAAACTGGCTTCCGGCGAAACTATGGAGATATTACAGTTATTTTTGTTCAGGCAGTTGCTACTTTCCTCAAAAAGCCTCCCTACCAAACGCTCACTCTCTGCCCTTAAATTCTCTAACTGCTGATTAGCTATGGCCGTGACGGTCGCCACTCTCTCCTCTAACAGGTACAACTGCTTCTCTATATATTGCGTGAGAGAATTCACGTTATCCGCAGTGATCAGCCAGCCTTGTACTAGTACTTGTTGCGCCGGGCTTGTGAAGAAGGGCGTATGAGCTATCACAGTCACATAAATTTCAGGCTGCATCACGCGCCTGCTGCCTGGTATCGTAAACTACAGACATACGGCAAATTAAGAGTCCCTATTTTACACGCACATTTGCAATGCATAAAAAGGAAAGCAATACTCACCGGTTTTGTTATACCTTCGAGACACCGTTTCGTCGCCAGAAACACCTCGTCAATGACAATCTCTCCGCTTTGTACATCCTAAAGAGACAATTATTTTATCTTCCTGCTGACGCCGCGACAAAAGTTAGATTGTCCGACGACAGAGGTATCGATACTTACAATAGTGGCGAGCGACGGGCTTAAATCTAAGCTGAAGACCATTCTATATTTGTGCGCCAGGAATACGATCGATGTCGACGAAACAACTTTATAGAGAAATTGGTGGCCGGTATCTATGGACCACGCGACAGACTTGTCCTTCGGCAGCACCGACACCACCGCCAGCTCCGGTTCCTCCTTGTTCTTCGTACTCGGGCATTGTATACTTATCACAGAGTCCAAGTGCTCCAGCAGCCATTGGGCTCTCACGTTGCGAGAGATGGGAAAGCCCTTCTTCATCAACAGAAAGATCGTCTCCGCCTCCAACACGGTTCTGTCCTGTACAAAGAAAGGAACTACGGTTAGCAGATGCGATAATTATCACGATTCTTTCGTACGTCGCGACTACTTTAGACAACGCGATAAATGACGTTACACTCCGTCAAAAGTTGACAAAAGTTTAGGAAAATTGAACAAAAATATGCGAGACACGCTCCGTTACGGTACCGCGCTGCTGTCATCGCACTGACAGACATCGCGGCCGCGGGAAGAGGTTATGTCCGCCCGTGTCGTCGAAGAGATCTGCTGCGACGCAGACTCCCCGTGTTCTCACCTCGTTCCTCGTGCTCGCCATGGCGAATTCTGACCCGCGCGCACGTTCTACCAGTCTATCATTATTATTGAAACCGTCGAGCTCGTCTCCAACGGGTCCTCGTCAGCGCGCTGGACCGAGAATAAATCCATCGCGACGCGCGTGCAGCGCGGGACGTTGCACCGTGCGACCAGGGAAATAAACTGTCTATCCGCTCGGCCAAAGGTCACATTGTCGCGTTCACCGCGACATTTGCGTATATCCGCGAGGCGATAAACATACTCGAACATAACCTCGAACACGAGCCGTGCTCGCGCCACGCGATGACGTCTCGGCCGCGTGCGCCTGGAATGTGCACGCGTGCGAGCAGCTGGATCCACGCGCGCGCGCCCGCGCTCGCGCGCTGCGTACGAAGCGCTCGCCGAAATTCCAAATCGCGAGCAACTCGCCGCGTGCGGGCGCAATTCCGCGTCCGGAATTGTTGGGACTGTTGGAAGAGAGATTTTTAATCCTCCCGTGGCTTCGAGTTTCCGCTGCGCACATCGTGCGGATTACAGTGCGGGAAAAACGCGCCAATAAGAGTCAACGTGTGAAATGCGCGCGAAACGCGATGAAAATTGCGCGCCGCAATTCGAAGGATTCAGGCGGCTCGAATTAAATGCTGGTCGCGAGGAGGAAGATTGCCGAGCGATATTTAAAAATGGCGCGTTTCTCCACCGCTGTTAGATTGGCATATAAGTAAGAAAAAGTAGCACGAGTAAAAAAAAACTGAGTTTTTATGCCTTTGCAATTTATCAACTCGAAAACGTGCGTTTGTCTAGAAAAGCGTCGTAAATGTTATTATAAAAATTTCGTCCAAAATACAATAGAATCAAATCGCGAAGAAATTGCCTTAAAAAAAAAGTAATGGGTAAGAAGAAGGAATTATATTTTCTGGTGTAAAAATTTCCTAAAATAGAGAGTCGATCGGTTTGACTTCTGAAAATCTTTCATTTACGAGCTATAATTATTGTAATCTTTCTGGAAATAATTAAACAGATGACGATATTTTGCAACCGGTTTAATAAACGTCAAGAATTATTTGACGCCAGTAAATGACTAACAATGATTAAGCTTCTAATCGACCCCGGCTGAGGTAATATTTTTCGGAATAAATTTTAATATCACAACGCTAGTTATGGTCGATTAGAAGCTTAATCGATGTAATAAAGATTACCATAATTATTACTACATCGCTTATCGCATATTATTATTTGATATTCATTAAATTCTCATCTGTTCTGTGCGTAGGAAATTCGCATACTTACCTATTCATTACTTTTTTCAGTTGTTTTTATTTGCGTCGCGTCAGGAATGTGGATAATATATAATGACTCGGGTATTTTAATTGCATCAATTTTCGCGCATCGATGTGTATCATACAAATGCGCGGAAACTTAAGAACGAAAGTAAGTTATGCGAATTTGCATCGTTTACACGATAACATGCACAGCCAATATACATATAGTCAAGTACTTTTAAAACTGTTGTAACTGTTTAACATCATAGGCAGTAAGAAATTTTACTATTTGCGCACTTTTTACTAATTTGCAATCGTGTAAGCGTAGTGTATTTATAATCCGTCATCATTTGCAATCTTTGACTTCGGTGACACATCCGAGCTCTTTCGACATATGATACACTATAGATCTAATCTCTTTTCGCATTTAAAAGGGGATTCCTAGATTTAAAGAGGAAACATTGCAAATGTATTTTTAGAACGTACCATACTTGCCGGAACTTCCTCGTTCTTTTCGCGAGAATTCAACATATCGATCGTCGCCTGCGCTTTTTCTTGGTGTAAACATCACGACTTTATCGCCGTTTTTATTTCCAACTGATTTCTCGGGTACTGCAACGCTGCGAGAAGCCGTACAACTGCAACGATAAAATACACAGGCTTTATTTTTTTAGGATATTTCATTACTATTATCAGTATAACAGTGGTAATAATTAACGTATGTTAAATAATTCAGAACTAGATTGTTTTATATCTTGCATGATAAGCGACAGTTTCGTAATTTCATCGCTGATTGCGGCAGACTGGTTTCTATATTAAAAAGTTGCTCCGCGAGGTATTTTCTTGTAATGCTCTTGAAGTATAAATTATGTCTTTTTGTACACTCTTTACAATGAAAGAAACATTAGATATACATAAAAAAAAAGATTAAACTGTAGGATCTCTCGAGATTCAAACTTTATACAAATCAGCATAACTTTTACGTTATTTGTACCAGTGTCATCGCCGCTAGAAGATTTCACTTCAATGACTGGCAAAATCTGGTACATTTTACGCCAAATTCTCCGAGATTCTCCTTTTCTTCTTAGCCTTTCGTATGTCTACAGATCGATTGAAGTTACAAGATTTGGAGAAACGAACCACGGACGTACAAAATTACTCGATTATCCTGGCAAAAAATTTGTCATGCATGAGCATACATAAATATGTAATATTTTTCACTTTTAAAAACTTTTCATATAGAAGCACGTACAATCTATAAAATTATACAGAACTGTGTAGAATTGTACAAAACTATATAGACATATACAATGTAAAAATATGTATGGATATATTTTATGTATATTTTTTTGAGTATAATTCTATATATTTCTTCATGTTAATGCATGAAAAGTTTTTACTGGTTATTCAAATGCTTTTTGTCGACCCGAACTGAATTAATACACTATACTAATAAGCTTTACTAGATTTATTGATGGACGAGGAGACTCGAGTAGTTAACTAAACGCCTCGAGTTGTCATAATTAACTACTTATGATGGCAGTCCGCGTTTGGACGCTTGGCGGTGATGACACTGCAAAAATCAGTAAAAACGCGGTGTGGCGTTTCGTCCGCTCTCACACGATGTTTGTATCAGGAAAACTGCTGCTTTGCAGTCATAAAACCTCGATCGCGTCGAAACAACCTCGCCTTGCGTGTCCGCTCGATTCCCAGCAAACACCAAAGTAACACCTAGTAAACACCGTGCATCAGTTACATTGCATTTATGTTACAATTTCTCACATGTGTTATATTACATTTACATCCTAGATAACAATTCTTGCGCGCAAATTTTGCTTGCCTTATGCATGCAAACTTGTACAAGATTTGCCAGAGTTTTACCCGAGTTTTTATTAAGATATGTTTAGTCTGTGCTTTTGCACGCAAGTCGTTAGCTCGTGTATTAACGTATAATTTTGCCTGCAAATATCTAACAACTCACGTACAAAAATGGCTTAACAACGCAAGCAAAATCCTATAAGTCCGTCGTCATAATGCTAGATGTTTGCGCGCAAAATGTTTTCTGGGATTGTTGAGTGAGGAATTCTAACATAAATGCAATGTAACTGATGCTCGGTGTTTACTGGCAGTAACATCAATCACATGCGTGTCATATTACATTTATTGAAACGGGAAACTTATAGTCAACCCAACTGGCTAGTTACTTGTTTAGTTTACTACAACGTTTCGACCCTATTTTTTGGGTCCTTATCAAGTCGTACTAAGTCAGTCATCGACGTCGAACTGTTCGAGCCCAGCAACCACAGTGCTCACACGTAAGCGTATATTTTACAATTCGACTCTGTCTGCCGAGCTTTGAAAGGACCTAAGAGAGCAGTGCGAATTTTTGAGGAGATTCCGCCAGCTCGAAAAAATTGAAAGAAAAAAAAAACGTCGCCAACCATCTACCCTGTTCGTGAGTTTGCTTTCCTGTTCGCCAATGAACATGGTAAGTGACGTGCGTCGATTTAAATTTCAAATTTTGCGGCATCGCTGTTGTTATTGCTGTTGTCCTTCGACTTGTAGCGACTTCGCTAAAACTACAATTAACTTCATCAATAATTAATACCTCTAGTAGCGCAATATATGTATTGGCGCAATATTGGGAAATAATATAAATGTAGTATTCCCAGTATTGGTCCAATATTGTAAACTAGACGCCTTCTCTTATTTAGCAATATTGGTTTAATATTGTTTCAATATTAGGCCAATATTTTTATTACATTGTTAAATATCGGCCAATGCACTTCCAATATAAATCTAATATTATGTAATTGTTATTATGCAATATTTATATTTATTCCATGGCCAATATTGGCTTTACGGTGGACAATATCGATATTTCTAATATAACCAACATTGGACCAATGTTTAGCCAATGCAGTGTGCTACTAGGGACGAGTTATCAATACTATTTTCTTCAGTTTAATATGAAAAGAATAAAACAGAAAGATTAAAAACGACGAATCGTACGTACAGTTAGAAAGTTAATTTTGCGCGATTATAACCGTCCAATTAATCGCCAATTAGGTTAATCGACGAAAAGAAAATATTCTCTTGAATTAGAGTTTTTCATATTTAGAAAATTCTATTCGTACGATGCACAGGCTGTCTTTTTTCCGAAATTACTGTGAACGATTGTAAAGTGACGCTGCTATATGTATATGTACATAGAATAAATTATGTAAATAGCTTCGAGAAGAGTTACAGTTACAAGAGGTGCATTTAGTCGAGCTATAAGAAATATTATAAAAAATTATTATACAAAGTTCTCAATCGTTTGCATTAAATATTCAGCCGTGCATTCTATTATACTATTTTATCCTATAAAGATATGGGAAAAAGTTAAAGATGCAAGAAACGTTAACAGTAATAAACGCATCCATACGGATTATTTCTGCACCATCATGTTAACTTTAATATTAATGTCTACCTGCGATATTTGAATTTGATTGAACGTTCAGGTGCCCTCCTAATTTCATATTCATGCAACGTCGTTCGTATTCATGCAGTAGACGTAGGGAATCAGTCATTTCCAGCTGATAATTTAACGATATCTGCGTCAGGAAAGATATTAGGGATATCAAATCCATAAATTTGCGCAAAAAATAATCGAAGTCATTATGAGATAATTAATCACGTCCAGCATCGTTACGTCACAATTATATGCAGCTGTGCAATAAGAAAAGAAGCAGCATTTTCGTAATTTTTAATTCTGTATTGCAAAGTGATCGTAAAAGCGTATAGTTTAATTCATTATATACGAAAATGGACAAACTCTCCTCTAACAGCGCACATATGTTCTGAGAATGTTTGAAGAATATCGCCCTTATATACGGAAAAGCAACGAAATAATTACTAGAAAATTACTGTATATAAGTAATTTTTTATGATTCAATTACTGATATACAGTAATTTTCTAGTAATTAATATGTTACTTATCTTATTTAATCAAATAAGGGGCGTAAACGTATATTATAAGATTTGTTTCAGATTATTAGGTACATTCCGAGTATGTTTTATGGATGATGTACACACACTATCATGTGCTGTTAGGGTCAAGGTTGGAAAGTAACTCGTTACTTGTAACGAAGTTACAGTTAGTTTTTTTTTGGGTAACTTTAACTCAACTTCGTTACTTTCTCTCCGTCTGTAACTGTAACTTAACTCAGTTACATTTTTTCGATAACTAGTAACTAATTTAATAGTTACATTAAGAGTTACTATAAATGTATTTTAAGTCTCCACAGATCGCATTAGGCCCTGCATTTGCGCATAAACGCCTTTATCGACACTTTACAATTCAAATGCAGATTTGATATTAATTTTATTTTCATTGCAAGAAAGTAACTGCAAAGTAACGATTCGTTTTTTTTTTAGTAATTGTAACGCATTATCTTCCAGAATTGGTAACTTGTAACTGTAACTAATTATATTTTGAGCAAAAAAAACCAGCACAGAATTTTACTTTCAACATTTCGCGAAATTTGCTCTGGCTGGTGGAAAATTAGCGTTTTGGAGTCAGTTCTGCGAATTCATATCGATTGCCCCGAACGCGTTGTAATAGGCGCGAGAGCGATGCTAGAGATCTACCTTATGCGACAGACAATTTTTTTCTTCCGAATTAATTTCGTTTCGAAACGGGGCCGAAGCGAGGCCTCGCCTCGCTCTCGCGCTCGGTCGTTTCTCCCGAGTCGATTCAACGTTTTCGCGAACGCTAGTATGATACCACGCGCCGTAGCCGCATGCGTCAGCGTCACTGAGTGACTGAGTTAGTAGTGGGTTCGCTGTCGGGCCGAGCGGTCGTGAGGGAAGTCAGGATTTCAACACGACCCAGTCAGATCTTCCACGTTCGGACCCCTCGGTTGTCGCGTTGCTCCTTCGGCCTGTAGCGAGGTGATTCGCCTTTCAGTCTCAACGTTAAGTTTTCGCTTTCAGCTGATCAGGGAGTACGTCCGACGCGGTGCCAGCGCTCGTCGTGTCGTCAACGCTGCGAAAGGTAACGTATCCGCTGCCCCAGAGATACGGACAGATGCTGCGTCACTGTCTCCTGTCACTTTCTCCTTTTCCCTCGTCCCATCCTGCACGTGTCCGTTCTCTCGCCCGCCTTACTTTCCTTCCGTGGCTCGTAGTCGAGGATGACAAGTCGTTATCTAATGTCGACGTTCCCCTACCCCTGTTCGTTTCCTCGCACGCGAATTATGCAATTCCCGGGAGATAGGACGTCCGTGCGATTGCTACATTGAGATAATTCTCAATATTGTACATTGTCATGCCACCGTCGGGTTTTCAAAAATATTATTTGCGTGCATCACTTGTATTCATTAAATTTGTGCACATATGCTCCGACTCCTTTCACTTAGCATTACTCAACTGCAAAATATCGTTGACGTATTTTCAGAACGTTACGACATATTCGTCGATAATTTTTTATTTTGGCAATTTGATATCTCACATTTATGTATAAATTAATGTGTATTTTCAGACCTTTTAAAAACAATGCCGTGCCCTTTCTTAACCCGTTTGTCCGCAAACTATGTACGCAATTATGGCTCGTCCCTGATAACGAACTACCGGCAGCACTGCCCGGTAATGTCACGGCTGTTCAGCACGATGACGAAGTCGGAGGAGTCTCAGCCGATTCCCGAGCCTGTGCAGAATCAGTGCCCCTTCCTGTCCAGAGAGCGGGACGCCGTGAAGAAGGCCAGTCCGGCAATGGAGGAAGACGTGATCAATCTAGGTGCTGTGGAGCAGAAGGAGGAGACGCAGTTCCCCTACGAGGAGTTTTTCCACGAGCAGATTATGCGAAAGAAAAAGGACCACTCGTACCGGGTGTTCAAGAAGGTGAATCGTCTCGCCGACGACTTCCCGGTGGCTATGGAATACTCGTGGGGCGAGAAACCCATAACTGTATGGTGCTCCAATGATTACCTGGGGATGTCGCGTCATCCTGCAGTGACCGGCGCGGTCCGCAAGGCGTTGGACAAGTTCGGCGCTGGTGCCGGAGGCACGAGAAACATCTCGGGCAACTCCATGGGCCACGAGATGCTAGAGAGGCGGCTGGCGCTGCTGCATCAGAAGGAGGCCGGCCTGATCTTCACCTCCTGCTTCGTCGCCAACGACTCCACCCTGTTCACACTGGCGAGAATTCTGCCTGGCTGCCACGTGTTCTCCGATGCCGGGAATCACGCCTCGATGATACAGGGCATAAGGAACAGTGGCGTGCCGAAGCATATATTCCGGCACAACGACGCGGCGCATCTGGAGGAGCTGCTGTCCAAGGTGGACAAGAGCGTGCCGAAGATCGTGGCGTTCGAGACGGTGCACTCCATGACCGGCGACATCTGCCCGCTGGAGGAGCTGTGCGACGTCGCGCACAAGTACGGCGCGATAACGTTCGTCGACGAGGTCCACGCGGTCGGCCTGTACGGCTTCTCCGGTGCCGGCATCGGCGAGAGGGACTGGGTGCTCCACAAAATGGACATTATATCCGGCACCTTGGGTAAGGCCTTCGGCAACGTGGGCGGCTACATCGTCGGCACCGCCAGGCTGATAGATATGATAAGGAGCTATGCGGCCGGTTTTATTTTTACCACCTCGCTACCGCCCACCGTGCTGTACGGAGCCTTGACATCCGTCGAGATTTTGGCATCGGACGAGGGCAGGTCGCTGAGGGCGAATCACCAGAAAAATGTGGCCTATATGAAGTCTATTCTTACTGCCTCCGGTCTTCCGTTAGAACCGTCGCCTTCTCACATCATTCCGATAAAGGTGAGCTGCAAACTGAATCTTGCAGCATTTGGTTTCACTTCATCTTCGATAGGCTGCTAACCTTGCCGCAGGAAACCTTCAACCTCGAGGGCTACACCCTTAAAGGGATATGTGTGGCAGGATACTCTCGATGGTTGCCACGTCCCTCTGAGAGATTCCGATAAAACCACCGTGCATTTCTACTCGAATCTTTTCGTTTATTTGTTCACTAAGTAGCGGATATTTCTCTGCGTCACGCTCGTCGCGCAAACTGAATAGTTAGATTAATCGATCATGATTGAACGATAATTATTAGTATAAAGTGACGTACTCTTTCTTTCAGATAGGAGATCCATTGGTGTGTAGCCAGATAGCGGACCATCTACTGAGAGACAAAGGACACTATGTGCAAGCTATAAATTATCCTACGGTTCCGAAGGGCGAGGAAAAACTAAGATTGGCACCAACGCCGAAACATACTCAGGCTATGATGGACAAGTTTATGCGGGACGCTCTGGACGTCTTTCATCAGCTCAACATATCCAAGACAGTCGCCGCCAAGCCGAACGACACGCCGCGTGCCATTCTGGTTCATTGACAAATGTGCACAATACAAATGATTATCGTACAAACAAAGTCTATCGGTGTATAGATAATTTATTTGTCTAGCCTATTTATCCGTCATGTTTCTGCAATACTTGGAATTAACGGTATATAAATCCTGCTATACGCTATCGAAGTTAATAATTAACAGAGGTTTAAATAAAGTGTTAACTAATAAATTGCTCACCTGTGTCTTTTCCTCTTTTATCAGTAATTCCAAATTTATCCGTGGCAGAATATTAAGCGAATAACGCATGTGCGACCACGAAAGGTACCTGTAAATATTCTTTCATTAAAAATTGTCATACTTTATCTTGGGGAAATTTAGTCTTACTGTAATGAGGAGTTTGGTGGAGGAACGACTTGGGTTGTTTTGCAGATAGCAGGCACGTCTAAGACATCTTTAAGACGGCATTAAATTGTCTTTTAGATATGTACGTCTAAAAGCGATGTCTGCGATGTCTTTTAGACATGCATTGCTATCTGAGTTTATATATTACAAAAGTTAATAAGGCTTGTTTTCTGTTGCTACACTGGTGAACTAGTGCAACAAGTTAGAGTAAGGCAGGTATATTTTTCTCATTCTAGCTTACTTGCAACAAGTTAGAGTAAGGCAGGTATATTTTTCTCATTCTAGCTTACTTGCAACAAGTTAGAGTAAGGCAGGTATATTTTTCTCATTCTAGCTTACTGCACTAGTTCACCAGTGCAGCAATAGAAAACAAGCCTATATTAGGCTTATAGAGAAAAATATACCTGTTTTATTCTAATTTTTTTGCACCAGTTCACCGGTGTAGCAACAGAAAACAATTCTATTATCGTAATTGAGTGCACGGCTGACGAAAGAACATGTCGAATGGACGTGCTGTTAACAAAGAGTTAACAATACGTTGCTCAATTTTCTAACGGATATAAACATGTCATGTCTATTGCATCTGGCCGAGCACTAGACGCTAGCATAACGTTTAGAATGTTTAGATCATACAAATGTTCTGTTTTCAACATTGGGTCTGTTTTTTATTGCTGCACTCCTGAACTAGTGCACACTGGTGCAATGAGTTGGAATGCGAGGTAATCTATTTGTTTCATTTTAACTTATTGCACTAGTTCAGTAGTGCAGTAATAAAGAACAGGCCTATTAAATGCCAGCAAACGGCAACACAATAGATATAGGTGCATAGCGCAAGATGCTAACATTTTTGTTACCAATATAAAAGCACGCTGGCTAACTGGGATCGCGCTTACCGCTCATTATAAAGTATTGTCGAAGGAAACACCCGGGCCGGTGTTTTTATATTTCATTCTTACATTAAAAATCTTAAGTGCATTCTTAAGATGGCATAAATTAATCGACGCCTCAAGGCGTCACTCGAAACCGTCCCGTGAAGTCCAAGATCTTAAAAGTTCTAACCGTTATAAATCATCCTCTCGGCCGATTACTCGCGCACGCGCGCTCGCCTGTCGTCTGCAGCTGACAAGTGTCAGAGCTCCGTTCCGGGTTTCGCGAGTTCCTCGGGGAAGGAATGCGCGAGATTGGCCCGTCCAGCGGCGTCGTCGGTCGGTAGATAGCCGGCGCGCGAAGATGCCCGCGCGGACGAAGAACACGGCGCAGATCTAAAGGACGCGGTCCACTCCCCGCCCGCGAATCGGCCGGGTTATGTTTATCGTGTCGACACCGCATAGGTTAGCAGGATGAAGAACCTGGTCAGTGTCTTGAAGATACTCTTCCTGAATCACGCGCGCGGGCTGTCCTACACCGTGACGATGACGCTCCTGCTGTGCTACTGTCTGCACCCGGCGCGGTTCGCCTCCCACTACACCTTCATCAAGACTGAGAACATCTACGACGAGATGGAGAAGTCGTACCCGCCGCGCGACAACTCCTGCGTCATCACCGTCGGCGGCAGACGGTCCTCCCAGCTGCTGTACCCGGAGGAGCATCCCCGGGAGGTACTTACGATGCGTCCAAGTCCTGCGCCAGCGTTACCTTAAATTATCAAGGAAAAACATATGTCATTTCTTTGTTACACGAAAAACATTCTGCTGCAGGACCCAGTGGCGATGGCACGCCGCCTTGGAATCCTGCCAGGCGGCCAGTGGAAGCCCCTCAATTGCCATCCCCTCTTCAACGTGGCTATCATACTGCCGTACCGTAACCGGCAGAGCCAGCTCGCCGTCTTCATGAATTACATACACCCGTTCCTGCAGTCGCAGAACCTGGACTACCGGATATTCGTGATCGAGCAGAGCCCGATGCGCGAGTTCAATCGCGCCAAGCTCTTCAACGTCGGCTACGCCGAGGCCACCAAGATCAACGATTTCCACTGCTTCATTTTCCAGGACATAGACCTGATACCGCAGAACCCCGACAATATCTACGCGTGCACGAAAATGCCCAGACACATGAGCTCCAGTGTAAATACCTTTCGATACAATCTGCCCTACACCGGCCTGTTTGGCGGCGCGATAGCGCTGACGAGGAAGCAGTTTGAAAGGGTAAATGGATTCTCCAATGTCTTCTACGGCTGGGGCGGAGAAGACGACGACTTCTACAGTCGTTTGCAGTCCAGGGGTTTTCAGGTTTGATCGATAGAAATTCCGGTATTGGTGTGACGTGTACTTGAATTGGGCACTTACATGGTTTTACTCCACAGATCACCCGCTTCGGACCTAACGTGGCGCAGTACTATATGCTGACGCATAAGAAGGAGCCTCCCAGTACCACGAGATTCGCAAATCTGGAGAGCGGTGCCCGTAGATACGACACTGACGGTCTTAGCAATCTAGAATACAGAGTATTAAATCATCAGTTGCGACCATTATACTCTTGGATTTTAGCTGATGTATAATTTAGAATCTTTTCATCGAACAATTAGCACTTACTGTTTTTTACACTGACGCTAATTTATTGTAGCACATTGTATATTTTCTAGAAAAATTGAAAAGTTTTGTCTTACTCATGAAGTACATTAGAAATTCAACGAACAAATATAATTGTTTTAGCATGCTGTGATAGAGCACTATAAATCTTGCAAGGATATTTTTTTAACGAAACGGAATACTCCATTTCTGTATGTTAAGAGTGTGAACAATTAGGCTTGCAATAAGTATCTCCTAGTATGTGAATTTAACAGTGTTTTCTCGATAGTATCCTCGACGACGGTGTGACGCCAGTAATAATCTATTAACAGATTGTACAAAGATATAAACAATAATACGTAACAACATATATTATTGATAAGAGTTAAAGACTGTAATCATCAGATTTACTGACTTTATTTTACCTCGTCAAAATAAAAAAAAGGGCAACGCCATTACACACACATAATATCCAACTATACTGTCAAGTTTAATTTTATATTTTTGTGATATTTACTATGTAAATGATTGCAGCTATTTAATGGTACAAATCTATTTCACGTACATGGAAAGTATATTAATGTATAATTTGGTTAATGACACTTACCTCGTATCCAAAGAGATTCTGGTCCTTTTATGTTATAAGTTATGATACAGCGCAGTGTTCTTCTCTCGTACTCGTACTGATTGTTCCTAGGTACTTTAGATGTGAAATGTTTTGTTACAAAATAAGATTTGATGTGGTACTACATAAATATTAAAATGTGACTGAATCAATAAGATTCTGTAATATTGCTCAGTCTAATGCTTGATACTAACTTATTACATATCTGATTTCTTATAAATTATGAATAAATATTGTGTACAAGTATACAAATATTTTGTCTCTTTGTATCTCTGAATATGACGAAAAATGCTAGTGACAGAACAATATTAATAATTTAAGTATGTTATTATAATGATGAAGCATTGTAAAATAATAAAACTAAGTTTTTAAGTAAAGAAGACAAATCGATGGAAAGTCTTGAATTATAAAACATAAGTAAAATTTTACATATATACCACTGTGAATATTTAAAACACATTCTTTACAATATTTATTATTGCCAATATCGTTATTATATTGTATTGTAAAAAAACTATTCCTAGAACAAAAACAAGAACTTGTTAGGACATTCTAGTCAAATAAGAGAAAGAAGTTTATAAAGTTTAATCTATTACAAAAAAATCACATGTTTCCAATATGCAAGCAATAGCGCTGCATGTACTCACCATTTTTTTTAATTATTAAACGAATCTTGCACGGTGACTTTAGAAAAACAAGAGAGATTATGAGAGTGTATGCAATAATAAATATAATGTATAAACCTTTAAAATATGACAAAAGTTTATATAATAAAAAAGAAAAAGAAATGTATACATACATGTGTACGAGATAAACAAACTGTTTAAATATTTTTAATATCTAGTTAAATTAGATTTAATAAATACAAAATTCACTAGATTCCGGTGACGTAATAAATATAAGATACGTCAATGTGAAGACAAACATTAAATTGTGTAAGAAACATAGTACGTCTTGTGAACATCATAAAACTGAGCCACTATTGATGACACTTTCGTGCATCGAAGCAAGACATAGTATTTTGCAGATTGTATCAAGAAAATACTTCTGCATAATGTAATAATGTTCGTAGTGATATTTATTTTTAGTACAACTTTATAATAACCTGTCAAATCATCACATTTTTACGTTCAAAATTTCACCTGCCAAATACAATTAAAAAAAAATTTCAGCAAGTTATTAGTTGACCATAAATCTCTTACTATTATTATTATAATTGTGTATAATTTATTCGTAGGCAAATATTATTGCATTGCACAATGATACAATTATATTCATCTCGACAGAGTGATTTCCATACGGAAAATGCATTCTCGAAAGAATCAGAGATATAATCCAAGGTTCGTTATCAGCTTGTCAATTTGCGAATAACATTGATATTATAAAATAAATAAAATAAAATGGCGCGTATGTGTGTATCTTGACAACATATTGCATTTTGGTGTACCGTATATATATATTACAGAAAAAAAAAAGATTTATTGTACGTAGAACATCGTTGAAGCATACGATAACGGGACTTTGCAAGAGGATGTATAAAATGCGTATTGCATGGTGTATGCAACAATCCCAAAGAACTGGCTATCACTGTGCAGTTACCAGTAAATTGCTATTACATTGTTCGAATGATAACAATACGAGTGTGTAATTATGCGTCTATGGAAAATGGAGTACAAGAACTTGTATGTATATATAAAATTTATCTTAATCGTATCCTACGTATTACGTATCGGACAGTTCTTGATATCGCGCGTACATCATCTTTTTCACGCAGTCCTTGTAGGTGTCACCGGGTAACGCGCTGTACGACGAAGTCTTCGCTCCTAAGCCGGCCGTGGGAACGCGTCTCTCGGCCTCAATAATACTCGTTCTACCTTGATTAGATTTTCCTAAACCCATTCCCTCGCTCCAGCCCATTTTTTGCAGTAATTTATTGCCGACGTTATCAGATCCGATACCGGCTCGTGTAGGCTCCTCGTAAGATACGGACATGTCCTCCACCCTGGTCTTCAAGTATTTCTCTTTCAATTTGTTGGGCTGTGGTGGTTCAGGCTCACCGTACTTGGCCCTCCTTTCCTTGGCGCGGTCTCTATACTTATTGTTTCTCTGTTGTGGATCATTAGGGTCCAGACCACGTACTTGGTACCAGTTTTCCAGGTTTTGCTTGTGAAGATCGGACAACTGTTGATGTCGGAGCAACGCCTCCTTGCTTGGGAACTGTCGTTTGCAGAGTAAACATGCCAGTTTACTCCAATCCGTATGCTGTTTCTCTTCCTGTTGCACGTCTTCTATCTCCTCCTCTGTATCGCTACCGCCTCCATAAGCAGCTACCAATCCATTACCGCTCTGATCTTCATCCTCGTGATACTGATTGGCAAAAGTTTTCTTTTCCAGGATAGCATATCCCGCGTCCGCTGCGCCACTTCCAATACCTTGAGTGCCATCCATACCGGCAAACTCAGAGTTCCAATTACTCTTGGCGTTCTCTTTTTTCTGATTCAAAGTCTTTGCCCAACGCTCCATGTCTTTCGCTATTTTCTTTGCTACCTTTACTTTATCCTGCTTACTGTCTTTCTTCTTATTCTCGTCCTCTTTCAACGCCTCCTGAACCGTATTAGCGGCTGACAAAGTCGTAGCTTGACTGCTGATCGTGTTCGCGGAATCTGTACTGCTTGCCGTTGCTGTTATCGTGTTTGTAGCTCCCTGTGTCGTACTTGCAGTAGTCTACAAACAAGATACGAAAATATTCTTGTTAGTAATATCTTCAGACACAAATAAACATACCGTTTTTTTTTCCGTAAAATTCAACTTTAATTACCTTAGCCGGTTGATAAGAGAATGATTCGGCGTCCCAATAAAGAAACTGTTGCGTATGACTGTTATAATAATATTGCGAGTTCGGGTCGTAATATAGTCCCGTGCTAGGATCATAATAGTAGCCAGACGATTCGTCGTAATGATAAGTGCTAACGTCCGGTACAGCTACGGAAGTAATAAATGCAAGATAACTATAAAGATTCAAATAATCTAAAACCAATTTAAAAAGCCACGTAACCTAGACTTACAGTATACTTTCCCATCGCTGGAATGCGCGGGAACCCTCCCACTGGCTAATGTCGTACTGGAGGGTGCCGTGGGGGTTGGTCGACCCTTCACGTCGTCGGTCTCCCCTCCCAGCTTTCTGGACGCCTGCAATTGTTGTATAGCGGATTGCGCTACCGCCGCGGCCGCGTTTACCCGGTCCGTCTGATTCAGGGACGGCAACGTGATCGCCGAGCCCTGCATTATTTGATTTTGATAGTACTGCGTGTAATACTGAAGGTAATGGGCCTTCTGTGCAGGCGTTTTGGCATACAAGTTGGCACTGTATTCAGCCAATTGAGCGACGTCGTCCAAGGTGTACCTCTGCGGCTGAGTGTCGTTCGACTTCCACGCGTTCGTATTATTAATTTGATGTAGCTTACAGTACGTTATCTCCACCTTCCTGCCGTCGACCACCAGTCCTTGCTTCGTGAGCGCGGTATGCAAGTACATGGCGTCCACTACATTGCCCATCTCCAAGTAGCAAACTCCCCTGGACGTGTTGGTGAGGGAATCGCGACCGATGCGAATGCTGCGTATCGGCAACGACGACAGGTTCTTCATCGCCTGCAGCACCGAGTCCTCGGTCGTCAACACGTCCAATCCCCGTAGAAGCACGGTGTTGGTGGGATGCGGGCTGATCTCGTCGCTTCCTTCCCCGCCCTCCTCGCTCTCCGCTCGCGAGGCGGAGCACTTGAAGCAAGTCTCGCGCCGCTTGAAATTGTGCGCTCCACACTGCGCGGAAACAAACGCAACAGAGTTATAAATCATTCACGAGCGTGACATTCGACGAGAAAGCAAACTCATGGTACGAACCTTGACGCAGTGCCAATCCTGCGTATTTTTCGCCGGCGGTTTATCCACATGGCACTCTTTCGGTATGCTGTACTGCATTAGCGCGCGATATTGATCCTGCAGCATCAGCACTCCCTGAAACAGAGAATTTCAGTGTTATCCCGTCCAACGTCTTCCTAAGGCCTCTTGTTTATCCCGTAAACTTTCTTCTTGGTTGACGAAATTATAGTTTTCTACTTCATAGCTTTCTGTCTCGAACAAACAGCGAACGAAGCCACGTGGGCTTATTGAACATGGGCCATTCCACACCGCTTGCAGACCGACTTGTTTCATGCGCGACTTTAACGTGGACAATCGTATTTGAAAAGAATTTCCGTAAGAAAGCGCACAGGCGGGTAACGCGAGAGTTGCCCGCGCGTATTAATTTTTATGCGAATAGAAAATTCTCTCGTGCACAATCTCCGTAGAGACTCTGAACGTCGCGAGTGATCGCAGCAAGAACTAAGCGAAACGGAAGAAGCAAAGACACAAGTGGTATAATGGGGAAAAAAAAGCGAATTTTCACGCGGGCAGCAATAATCGCGTCGTTCGAAATAGAAAAAAAAGAAGAAAGGAACCGTAATCAGAATATAAAGACGAATGCTGGAATGACCCTCCTCTGAACTCCTCATCGTTAGTCCACGGACTTTTACGACAAATAGGGCAAAAAGCACGCGGCGCGGCGGGGATCTCGGTCAATCGCAAAAACTTAAGCCGATATTATTGCGCGAGTAATGCGAGCGAATTAAGAAAAGTCTGCAAAATATGTGGGGACTTCCTAGATAAATAAGTAGATACGGTAGATTGAAAGTTTTTTATAGGTGCACAGCCGTGGCCACGGGGAGGGGCCAGAGGGCTGCGTTACCGTGCCTTGCCGCCACGGGGCAGTCGGTGGCACGCGTGCGACAACGCATCTCGGGTATCTGGACCGAACTTCTTTCTACCTGTTTCATCTCCATCCATCGTGCGGCCTCCTGAGTCGCGTTAAACTCGACGAATGCGAAACCTCGCGAAGCACCTATACAGAGCAAATACACACATATCCAGAGTTAATCCACGTTTGTGCCTGGGTTTCTCTACTTCGAGAGGGCAGGCAATCACAGCACCGACCATTGACTGACTGTTTCAAACGAAGTGTCTCTTCGCTTCGTCGAACGTTCTCATTTTCCATCTACCTAAATTTCAGCAGAACGAATCCCGAGCTGCGAGAGACCGCAGATTCACGTGTTCGGGACAAAGTATGCAATTTCGAGTTACGGAAATTTTTCTTTCTCTCAAACGCCGAGCCTAGCCGGTGATAAAAAAAATTTCTAAAGCCTTCGTTTATACCCTTCTACGAGACGAGAGCGACGTAAGGACTTTTGCGAATAGAGAGACGCCGGCAACAACAAAAAAAAAATCGATCCCGGAAGATACGTTAATCGTGCGCGTACCGTTTATATAAAAATCTATGGCAGCAGTCGAGCTTGTAGATTAACAAGACATGGTTTTAATAATTTATTTATCATTTTATTCTCGCTTGAAATATGAAGCTACAAAAGTGAGGCAGGGAGGAAACTTTCAGGCATGGATACCTTTTAAGGAATTAAATAGCGAAAGTCGATATTTTCAATGTACGTTGACACGTTTGTCTTTCCTTAAAACTTCATATTACAAGCGAGACAAAAGACTTGTTATAACTTTATTAAAATAATGTCTTCATATGTGACAAGTGTCCTAACTGAAGAATCGTTATATGTTCCTATAATTATAAATGTAAGTTATATTATCTTACTTGAAACAGTCAAGAATCTGCCGAACGTGAGATACTTTTTAACGTACAGTTGCATTAAGAAAATTTCACAAAGTTTTTCACGGTTTCCTGTCAATTAGCTTAACGTTCTCTTTGAAAATTCCTCTCCCACGTTTTTCTATACTTACCTTTTACCAAGGATACATGCTCAACTAATGCTAGCCGAACCAATATTTTGGGAAATATGTATAACTGGCATCGTGAGATGCGATAAAAATGGTTGAGATTCTAAGCGAATTGTAACTCGGAAGAGATCTCCGTGAACTTCGTACACGATATATACGGTTTTCGTTCCGTTTATGCAATTCGGTAAACGCGAACGGTCGCACAAGCATGACGCAACAGTGTCACAAGCAACAGTTCCGCTCATAGGCGTACGACAGTTACACTCCAAGGATGTTAAAACTTATAACACAGTGTAATAGTTACCTGTATCTTTTTTGCGTATCAGCCTGATGTCCTTAGGCATGAGACCGCAGTTGAGGATATCTTGCCGCACCTGTGATACACACATCATGATAATAATAGTGGCGCCAAGCTCGGCGGTGCTGGGCTCACGAGTGACTTATATGTCAGGCCGCAAAGTCGAGCCAACCTACGTCATTTTCAGTAATGTGCTGAGCGAGCCCACGTATCATTATGGTGTTGTTGGGCGATTGCGATTTGTAGTGGATCCCCTCCATGGACGAGCCATAGGCGCGGCCATGGTCGTGCTCAAAGTCCAAACTCTCGCGACTGTGATCGTCGTCGCGATCGCGATCCCGATCCTCCCGCTTCCCCCTACGGTCCCTATCCCTATCCCGATCTCGGTCGCGTCTCGAACGCTCCCTGTCCCTGTCCCGGTCCCTATCCCTATCCCTGTCCCTATCTACAGAGTCTCTATCTCGCTGCCTCCCGTAGCGATCCTCGCGGTCTCTATAGCTGCGGTCACGATCGTCTCTGCTACGGTCTCGCCTATCCCTCGAACGATCCCTCTCGCGCTCCCTGTCTCTCCCACGGTGATTCCTGTACTCTGGACTACGATGGTCCCTATCGCGATGATCAACATCACGGTGCTCCGAATACTCCGGCGACCTGTTGTTGCCGTAATCGCTGCGGTAGTCGTAGTCGGAATTGTGACTTCTCCTCTCTGGCCCGTAGCCAGGCTCCCAGGGGTCGATGTTATTGCTGTACATCTTGCTTGCACATTTATTCAGCTTCTGAAAAGAAACCACGATCCAAGTCATTTCTTCTTCTCATATCCTTAATCGAGAATTTTAGTTTTATTTACACGTAACTGTACGAAATCACAGTTGACATTTAATCGACAAGGCTGGAAAGATTTCAAACGTTAATTCCAATGTTATTTTTCTCTGTATATGCACCGCGCACATGTATTCCCATTGCAGCTCCTTAGTACACGTGTAATCCGTGTTTTAAACCGTGTACACGAATTTAAAGAAACTTCATTTACGTGAATCCGTCAACACGTGAACGTGACACGTGTCACATACACGACTATACGAGGGAATAAATAAGTTGTGTATTCAATATTTAATTTTACCGACACTTCTCCAAGCTGTGTTGTTGACACAAGTACTGTATTCTCGAGATATCCCGGCTTCATGTAAAATCAAATTCTCGCCCGATCTCCAATCGATTGAAGGAAACACTTCGATTTTCAGAGCGACATTTGAAATGGCAGTAACGTTACAGAGTGACAAAGGTAATGGAAACATACCACATTGTTATACACGCTAATTCGAACAAGGCGCTGCAAAGGAGCGCGGTTCTCTTCCCCCTTTATTTTTATTGAAAAAGAAAAGAGAAACAATACTTCGAGGCGCGTGTAGCGGCGGTTCGACCGCGGCCCAAGACGCGGATAGTTGCCCTTTCAAAAGTTTGAAAAGAAATTCGGATTCCTCGTCTAAGGTCTCGGCTGCTTAAAAATACTACAAAAAAAAAAGGAAGACGCAATCGATTCGACGCATCGTGACAAGCGTCGCGCTTCGCGTCCGGCGGCAATTCCGGTGCAGGCGCGGCGACGGGCCCCGAGAAGGCGCGGATCATCGGGCGTCCGCCACGCGTGCGAACAAAAACACGCGACTCGAGCCGCGACACTCTCGGCTCGCGCGACGCGGTGCCCCTGATCGCGGTCGCGCGGATAATTCCGCGGCGGCGACGACGAACTTACCCGCTGCAACGATCCGTCGTCCGCGCGCAAAAATCCGGACTCCGAAGCGACGATGACACGCGACTACGCAACGCACGTCGCACGCTCTCTCACAGTTACACGGCGAACGGGTCGTGATGCTCACACAATGGCGTCGCCCGGAGCTCCTCGTTCGATCCGCAAAATATGGCGACTCCGTCGAAGACGGGCCGAACGGAACTTCATTACGTGGACCTCGGGCTTCGACCGTGAGAATTGTGTAGAGCCGCGAGTCACCGGCGACTTCCGGTCTGGACGACGGAAGTGCGTACGCGTTTCCCCGGACGTTCATTGGCTGCCCCGGCAGCCAATCGGCTTTGCTGTTCCAGGGTGCAACTTCGT